ATGAGGGTTAAATTAAATATGGCAATGTAGTGTAGTCTTAGCACAGAGACAATTATTTAACATGTGTTTCTGATATATGTAAGAGAGATATTGCAGCAGTTTACAATAAAGAAAGAGGATCTAAGTGATGTGCTATTGATTTTACTCCCTTCTTTCAAAAGTCAGTCTGACTAGGCCAATATTAGGAAATGGTGAGCAGAAGTCATGGCGGCACAGCCATTCTGACTCAGAGTTTAATGCAGGGTAATTCCTACTTGATGAACTATTTTTCCACAGAGAAAAATAAGAGGCAAGTAGAGATGACACATCACATAGGTCAAGTCTACCATGAGGCAACCCCTAAGGAAATACCCCGTCATGATTCTTTGAAGTTGTATTCCATGCTTACAAAAATAGAGGTTTCCTGGAGTTAGGTTATTATTACTTAAAAAAAATGTATTGAGGTATAAGTATATGCAAACAAATCCCTCAATTTTAAGTGTGTAACTTAACAAATGTTGTCAAGTAACTGTGGTGGTAACAAATATGACATAAAATATTTCTATAACCTCATAAGCCTCTCCACCTGCTTGGAAGTGGATCTCTTTCCCCATGACCTGGGCCAGGGCCTACATGGATTTGTTTTCTCTCACATTAGTTATGTCTTTTCTAGAAAAAGAAATCAAACAGTATGCACTTTTTGTGGCTGGTATCTTTCATTGAGCACAGTGTTTCTCAACTGATTATAAATTACTGTCCCATTAGACAGCACTTTTAGTTTTTTTCCCCCTAATTGTCTCTCAACTCCTGAAATTTTAATACCACAGATATTACTATGTGGTTATGTGCCAGGTGTATGTGTGTGTGTGTGTGTGTGTGTGTGTGTGTCTGTCTGTCTGTCTGTACATATATGTACATATATACATTTTCATACTTTATATACATAGAATAATATTTTCTCACACATTGTTTTAGTCAGCTGTTTCACTGCTGTGACCAAAAGATCTGACAAGAACAATTTAGAGGAGGAAAAGTTTACTTAGGTCTCAGTTCATCAATGGCTGACTCTGTTGCTCTGTGCTGGAGGCGAGGCAGAACATCAAGGCAGAAGGCATGAGGCAGGAAAGCAGCTCAGGACATGACAATAAGGGAGCAGAGAGAGACTAATCTTTGCTCACCAGAAATAATATATATATACCCCAATGGCACAATCCTAGCAACCATCTCCTCTAGCTACAACCTATCTGCCTACAGTTACAACCCAGTTAACCTCTACCAGGGAATCAATGAACTGATTATGTTAAGGCTTTCATGACCAATCATTTTACCTCTGAATGTTCTAGTATTCTCACCTCATGAACTTCTTTGTTTGTTTGTTTTGTTTTTGGTAACCAGGATTGAACTCAGGGACACTCAATCCCTGAGACACACCTCCAGTCCTTTTTGTATTTTACTTAGAGACAGGGTCTCACTGAGTTGCTCAGGGCTTGCTAAGTTGCTAAGGCTGGGTTTGAAACTCCTAATCCTGCTGCCTCAACCTCCTGAGCCACTGGGATTACAGGCTTTCGCCACTGCACCCTACGCTCATGGACTTTTGGGGGACACCTCATATCTAAACCATGACATACATCAAGGACAATATTGTTTTTGCACCTTTAGGGCACTGTTACCTTCTTGAGAATATATATATGATTTAATATGTTTTTGTGATTCATCAGTATCATATATATCAAAAGTAGGTTCATTTGTATTGCTGGGACATATTCCATTATGTAAATGAAGAAAAATAATTGCAAATATGTTCCAAAGGTCCAGTACTGAGTGAAAAATTCAATTTGAATTTATTTGAGTTTCCCTAGTGTCGAGGCAATTGTTCAAGTCAGAAAGCTGGGCGTGATTAAGGCTCTTCTGTACCCATGTGCATTCCATCAAAGTTTGATTATTTCTTGAATCTGGTCTCAAAGGATCAGACTTTGCCATTGTAACCCAGAACATTCTAGATATGTAAAGATATCAATAGTTGTCTTAAATTGGAAGACATTGAAGGCCTTTAAGTAAGAAATGTGATATAACTTGTTAGTGAAATTGAAAGACTTCTAAATCTTTAATAATAACTAAGTTGAAGATGGAGTATGAGGATTTGAATAATTTGGGGGGAAGATCTTTCAGGAGTCTGGAGGAGGAATGACAATTGCCCTCTTATACGTTTGAATGCAGGGACTAGGAGAATGGGAAGGGCATGCCAATTTTTGATAGAGGCTCTGTTAAATTTAACAGTCAGATCTCCCAGTTACATGAAAATATAAGTATGATGAAAAATTCAGATAAAACTTCCTATTTCTTGTTGTTGCCTTGACTTATCTAAATTTTTCTCAAATAAATCAGTATCATAAATGAATTAAGTGTGAATATTCTCTGGTCATTTAAGAGCAAGTCAGAAGGACTTAGAGAACTAGAATCATGCTCTTAAAATATCTTACATCATTTCATCCATCCATTCATCTTTCAATCCATCTCCATTGTATGAAGAGATATTCAAGGAATGAATAAGAATAATTGCAAATGTATTACAAAGGTCAGGTACTGAGTGAACAATTCAATTTGAATCTCTTTGAGTCTCCCTGGTGGAAGGATTTAGAGAACTAGAATCATGCTTAAAAAATATCTTGTATAAAAATATTTCCTAGTGGTTATTATAGTACTAGTGTTTCCCCATGGGCTGTAATTCTCTTAAGATTTATGCAGATTGCCTTGTGTGTGTGTTTGTGTGTGTGTGTGTGTGTGTATTTATGTGTTTTTCTGGCAGCATCTATCATTAAGATTAGATTTTTATTCCTATTAAAGATTAAGAATCAATGACTGTTATGGTTTAGATATGGTTAGTGCATGTTCTCCAAGGTTTCACGTGTTCAAATTTCATCCCCTTTGTGAGGTATTAAGAAGATGGAAATTTAATCCAATTATGTGGTTCAGAGGTGGCATCTGTGGGGGGGATTAGAGTTAGATAAATTCTTCAGGGTGGCATCCCTATAAATGAATCTTAGTGGTGCTTTATAAAAGAGGGAGAGAGACCAGGAGAGGCATAGACGTATATGCATGCTCTTTGTCTCCGTGACACCTAGAAAGTCTGCAACAAGAAGGCCATCACTAAGGGTAACACCTTGACCTTGGACTTTCAGAACCATGAGCCAAAATAAACCTAGTTTCTTTATAAAGTCACCTAATGTGTGGTATTGTGTTAATAACAACAGAAATGGACTGAAACAATGACTGCTGTGTTTTAGATTTAAGATACACAAACATGCATATGACCTAATCTTCATTCTTAAGGCACATAAAGTTTACATCATGTAAATAGATAAATTGCAAGCCATGTTGTTGTCAGTGCTTTAAAGGTACTCTGAAAGAAACTCTGGAAGTTTATCAGTGCTTTTTCTTTTCCAGGCGATGTCTGAAGAATGGCTGGTTACAATATCTCCAGGAACTCCTCTTGTGATCCTATACTGACTCCTCATTTAACCTGGCTCTACTTTGTAGTGCTCATTGGCGGACTGACAGGTGTCATCTCCATTTTGTTCCTGCTGGTGAAAATGAATACCCGGTCCGTGACGACCACAGCAGTCGTTAACCTGGTGGTGGTCCACAGTGTTTTTCTGCTGACAGTACCTTTCCGCTTGTCCTACCTCATCAAGGAGACTTGGACATTTGGATTGCCCTTCTGCAAATTTGTGAGTGCCATGCTGCACATCCACATGTACCTCACCTTCCTCTTCTACCTGGTGATCCTGGTTATCAGGTACCTCATCTTCTTCAAGCGCCAGGACAAAGTGGAATTCTACAGAAAACTACATGCGGTTGCTGCCAGTTCAGGCATGTGGCTTTTGGTGATTGTCATTGTGGTACCCCTGGTCATTTCTCAGTATGGAAATAATGAGGAGTACAATGAAAACCACTGTTTTAATTTCCATAAGGAACTTGGTCATGAGTATGTGCAAGTCATCAATTACATAATAGTCATTATTGTCATAACCACTGCAGTGATTCTCTTGGTCTTCCAGATCTTCATCACTATATCCATGGTGCGGAAGCTAAGCCACTCCTTACTGTCCCACCAGGAGTTCTGGGCTCAGCTGAAGAATCTATTCTTCATAGGCATCATCCTTATTTGTTTTCTTCCCTACCAGTTCTTCAGGATCTATTACTTGCATGTTGTGGCACAAAACAAGGGCTGCAATAACAATGTTGCATTTTACAACGAAATCTTCCTGAGCGTCACAGCCATTAGCTGCTGTGATTTACTGCTCTTTGTTCTAGGGGGAAGCCATTGGTTTAAGCAAAAGATAATTGATCTATGGAATTGCCTTTTGTGCCGTTAGCCATGAACCACCATAGTCATTTCTTTGTATTGGGAGTGGAAATAGTTCAGGGAGGTAAGTGGAGGGCTGTGGAAAATAATATTCCAACCAGATAGCCCCAGAAGAAAAGCGGAGAGATGGTGCAACTCCAGAGGAGGGAGAGAAAACTAGCCAAGCATTAACCTGTCGGTAAGTCCTTTCCCAATAACAATGGGCCCTGAAGGAAGGGAGTGGCATCTGAATGCCGGGCTATGGACTTGAACCTTCCCCCATAGCAAATTAGTCCTAAATGGAGACTCAGTAAATATGGAAACTCTGGGAAACAGTGAATCCCAGAGAAAGAAAAGCAATGGGTGAGATTTGAGGAGACATCTCTCAGGATCTGGACTCCCATCTCTCCAGGTAACAATGAGTTTCAACCTTTTTAAACACTGCTTTCCTGAGTTAAAGTTTTAACCTGCACCACTAGCCCCTGACTGTCCAAAGGGCACATCCACAGTTCCCAATGATTAAGCCACCCTCACTGTATCCTCTGTAACTGAAGGCCACTTTCTCATCCAGAAAATGAACCCCTATGGTGCCTGAGTCTGTGAATGAATAAACCGGCATCTCTGAATCTTTTGAGGTCTGCATTCATCATTTTGTGCTTACAATAAGAATACCATTCATTATTTGCTCCAGCCAAACAAAAGTAGTATAAAATTACAGAGCACTCATCTCAATCTTTACTTGATCCCTGTGGTCTCCAAAAGATGCCCATACAAAGACCACAGATGATGACTCCACATGGAGTTACAATTATGCTTTTCTCTCTATGAGACTGTGTTATAATAAAAGGCTGACTAATGTGGACCTACAGAAGAAATGTTACCCAAATATGAGATTGCATTATTTTCTAGTGTGAAATGTTTGCTTGGCCCATCTAGGCAACATAGGTCTAACGGGTACAAGTTTCATTAGCTCATTCTAATTTCCTCAGCTAGAAGCATGGTCTTTTCTTGGGGTTTGGACTGGACTCAGCTGTCTAGTTCTTTTCATGCCTCTTCATCTTAGGTAGGTTAATCTTGGTTATAATTTAGCTCTCAATACACCAGACAAGATGATCCATCCAACTCACACTGGCAAAAAGAGATGAAGGGAGAAATAGCATGAAATTTCTCTGGGTAATCATAACTGGTGAGAAGTTCAGTATTTAGACATGAAGAGAAACAGATCTCGTGGACTACTGCTAGAACAAGGATTTCTAGATATGTCCTTTTTTTCTAGAATATTACTTTATTTATTTATTTTATATTTGTTCTAATTAGTTATACATGACTGTAGAATGCATTTTGACACATTGTACATAAATGGAGCACAACTTCTCCTTCCTCTGGCTGAACACGGTACAGGGTCACACCAGAAGTGTCATCATACATGTATATAAGATATAATGTTCATCTCCTTCCACTGTCCTTCCCATACGTCTAGATTTGTCTATTGAAAGGTCAAGTTTAATGAAAACCACTGTCATAGGGGTCTGTGTTCAGGATCACCAATTGTACTGTTCCTCCAAAAATCATTTTTAAGGTTACTGAATATATCTAAACAATGGTGAAATTCTAACCTAGAGAATATTCCTGATCAATGTGCTGCTAGGCATTAAAATGTGTTCCCAAGAGAGATGATTAACATTTTTTCCTTTTCTGTATTTTGGAAGAATTTCTAGATGTCTTGGGCTACAGTTAATTTAAATGTTCTTTTGATACAGAGTTCTATTGAAATTTTTGAAGTTCATTTCACTCTTAAAGTTACATATTTTTTAAAAATGAAAACTACATTCCTAAAAACTTTTGTTAAATGTATGGAGTAACCATTAATTTAGACTGTACGAGATTAGACTGTATCAAGAAAGTTTTCTGAACATTTGAGGAATGAATAAACAAATGTACTGAAAAATAAAAAAAAATGTAACCTTCAAAATATTAAATAATTTGGGGTTTTTGCAAAATTCTGATTAGCATTTTGCCATTGTTTTGTAACTTGTGATATGTGCCACATTTTATTTCACGAATGTCTATTAGTGGCTAGGTCGATACTATGCTCCTGGATTTTAGTTCCCTCCTGCTGATATTTCTATTGCCTTCAAAATTTTATCATCTAAATTTGCCAAGAAACAAATCCAGTTGCATGTTTTTAATGCTGCAGAAAACCTGCAGTAACTAATGGTAAGAATAGA